CTGTGCTGGCTTGGACGTTTCTCTCTTCCTCGCTTCATCTCCTCCTCTCCTCTCTCTCTCTCTCCTTCTCTCTTTCTCGCTCTGTCTTCCCCCCGCCCCCATTTTGCACGGAAGCCGGGAGGATGATTTACTGCCGGCTTTGACTGGATCTCTCTTCTCCCCCCTTTCCCTCCCGCCACCGCCGGGGCTTCGGGAAAGGTGAACGTTTTGGCCATGGGTCTGTAATCGCTGGCAGCAGCTACAGCTCCTCCTTGATCCCCTTTATAAATAGGGGGTGCGGGGATGTGCAATATTATATGCCTTTATTATCGGATATCACCCACTATATGTGTGTACATAAAGCAAAGCTAAATTCGGGAGAGTTTAAAGCTCCCTCGTGTTTATTCTCGGTGTGCTTCTGTGACTTGGTGTTTAATAACCAAGTACAGCCTTGTGCTTTCCAGACTGTGAAGCCTAAGGTGGAACAGATGGTGTACGGAGCAAAAGCACAGGGCTGGATGGACCCTGCTAATGGACTCCAATGGTGGGAATATCTGTCTTTGTCATAAGATGATACTGAAGTGTAAAACACCTAAATTTTGGATCTGGGAATTGGTTTCAGTGTGCTAATTGCTATTAAAAGGTTGATCATTTTTGTGGAAGCCTCTGAGAATAAGTAATCCTGCGCCCATCCGTATCATAAACTCTTGCATTTGGCATTTCTTGCAAAGAATGAGGCTAGAATTTATTGCGAATGTCGTATTGACCCATGGGTGCATCTTTCAGTTTAGATTACTGCTGATTTGATCCTCTGGAATCTGCAAAAGGAAAGTCTGCCAGCCTCTGTGAATAGCATTGCAGTGTAACAGGAGTGGAGTTCCTGAGCAGAATCGCTGAGAGATATGTGAACGAGCATAAGCAAAGCTGAGCACTCTGGTATTTCAGCCTCAAACCTGGGCTCGTTCCCCAGGCACAGTTTGTGTGGGGGGTGAATACCCTCTTGGCACCTGGAGATGATGTCGGTCGAAGGGTCTACAATAACAAGTCGGATCAAAAATCTACTTCGCTCCCCTTCCATTAAGCTGAGGAGAAGCAAGCCTGGGAACAAGCGTGAAGATATAGGCAGCAAGGTGAGTGCTGTTTGGTGCGGCCAGCATGCTTTAACTTTGTTGCCTAAGGTCCCATCTGCACTAACAGTACTGCTTTGGGAGACCTGGTGTAACTGTAGAGTGATGCAGAGCAGCCGATATGTAACTGTAGTCTGTCTTTTAGTTGGGGTCTTTACTGTGCTTCAGATCCTTGCTAAAGCCCAGATCGCTCTTCTGAAACATAGTCTTTTTGCTTGTATGGTGTGTAACCAATCTGCATCAGAAAGCTTTTGGGATTTCCCACATTGTAGTGTGTGGAGTTGTTACAGATGACTGACAGGAGAAGCATAACGCTGCCTCTTCCTCCATGTTTCCAACTGTTAACCTATGTTACCGGCAGCTAACGATACACAAAGACCTGTTCTTCTGTGTAAGGAATTGCTTTCAGCCTCTCAAAGGAGTGTTCTGTGAGCATGTGGGGAAGGGTAGGATGATCTGAAAGATGGAGGATGCAAGACGTCTCTCAGAGGTGACTGTTCACATGGGATCTGTGTTCCACAGGCCTGGATGTGCTTTCCTCTGTGTTCCTCCTCAGTGTGCCTCAGACCCCCTTCCCCTGGGGATTTCTTCTCTGGGGTATAATTGCTTCTGCCTCAAAATCCATCATTCTTCTTGGTGTTGTGGAGAATTCCTGACATAGTCACTCACTGGGAATTGACTGGTGTCTTGAGAACAGGAGGATGACTTAACCGCAGTTGTAGGGAGAACAGGAGCTGGGTGGCATTGCCTTGTGCTGACAGCAGGCGCCTCTGAGTCAGGGCACCTCATTCTGTCCCTGCCACTGATTCACTTGTAGCCCTGGGCAAATCACTCAGCCTTTGCGTAGCGCTCTGTCTCCATAAATAGAAAGCTTAATCCCTCCCCCCTTGTGAAGACTCACTAATAAATAAGAAATCCTTGTAATCCATGACTGCAAAGTGCATTTGTCTCAAAACAGTAGTGCTTCAGAAGTTAGCAGCTGGAGTGAACAGTGTATAAAAACTGCAGGGGAAATAAATAACGCTTTATCTAAATGGCCTGTCCCCAGCGTGAAATCCTGTTCTCAACTGTGGTTCAGGTTGGAGGTCCCCTGAGATGGCTGTTCAATATCAAGGAACACAATATTCTTCCCTTGCAAAGCAAGCGAAAAACCTGCTCAGGCTCCTCAAAGCTGTCTAGAGGAGAGTCCTTGGTGTTTGTGTGTGACCTCAGTATGTGCATGTTCACGCATGTGCTGCATTTAATGCAGACTGTGGACCGCCAGTGAAATGTGCTTCGTAGCTGTTGCTGAAGAGCAGTTTGTTGATCTGTACTCTGCAGACCTCTGTCAGAAGAGCCAAAAGCCACCTATACCACCACGTACAGTGGGCATTGGATTCTGGCTCTCTGAAAAGGAGCTGAAGTCTGCCCACTCCTTTTCAGAGTTGGGACCTGCTGCTATAAACCCCGAGTATTCTCTGGTACCTGTTTAGTGGTTTTTTTTGTTTGTTTTTGTGTTTGTTTTTGGTTTTTTTTTAGCTTGGATGTGGCTTTTGGAAGATCTCCGTTGTATCCCTTGTGTTGTCTCCCGGGGTGCAGCCAGTGCTGTCTCCATAAATAGAAAGCTTAATCCCTCCCCCCTTGTGAAGACTCACTAATAAATAAGTGAGTAATAATAAATAATGATAACCCCGGGGTTATCATTGATTCATTCTGCACCATCAAATTAGGGTTTGAGGGCTTGATTTTGTGTATCTTATTTGTAAGTGAGATACAAAGGAACTGCTGGGGAGTTTGCTTCCAGTTTGTCATGATGAGGAGTGCTGGCGTTTGTTTCCCAAAGCATTCTGCTCTGAATTTCTCTCAAATGAGTTATGTCCTGTCTTCAGTGGAACAGCTGGGGTGGGCAAGGCAGAAAGGAGTAGGCTCCTTACCAAAGATTCAACAGAAGAACTTCCCCAGTTTGATATATGTGGAGATGCTCCTCTGCCGTGTGTGTGCTCCTCTGCCTTCCAAGGTGAGAAGCAGCTCTACTTTTCTAAAATAGCAGGAAACAGATCCTCTCGGTCTGCTATTTGGTATGAGTGTAAATTCCTTGGGACTGAAATTGAGCATCATACACATTGCTTCTGGAGGATCTTTGCTGACCTGCAGGAAGGGCTTTTCCAGGCATCTTTGTCTCTTGGACTTTCTGAGAAATAACTGCTCCAAGAGGCGCATGTGACTCCAGTCATGTGGAAGTATGGATGGGCCTGTGAAGCTGGTAGCTTTGGCTGGTCATCTCTGCCGAATGCTGCTTGGTTATATAGGATGGATAAGGACTATTGCCCTAGATTAATGCCTGAAAGGTGATACTGTGCTTTGTACGTGCAGATGTAGGTGAAGAGCAAGCCCTCCACAGCTCTTTGGTTCCTCGGAGTCCCTCAGGCTTTTATTGCAACCAGCTGCTCAGTTTAAGATAGACAAGCACCCTCCGTGGCACTGCCTTGACTTCCATGAGCTGTGATTCTCCCCTCCAGTGGAAAGTGTCCCTGGTGTCCCTGCTCTTTCCTAACCAACCCTTTGGCGGTGGGAGGCCTGCCAGGCTGTCTCAGTGGTTAGGGACAGACCCCTTTGGGCAGTTGGTCATGCTGAAGAGAAGGCCTGTAAAAAGTGGCTTCTTTCAGCGAAGCAGCCGTGTAATGCTGGGCTGGATGTGGGCAGGCTGTGGGAGGCTGGCTCTGCAGAGACCTGTTTGTGCATTGCTCTGCAAGGGGGAGTGTGGGTAAGTAGAGATATTTTGCATGAGGGCTGCATGTGCCGGCCATGCAGCATGTTACCTGGGAGCTGTACAAGAGAGAACTTGTCTTGTGATTTTTATTAGGACTTATTCCTTACCTATAATTAATGCATGGTTTTACTGCGCAGCCCCAGGAGATCTCTGCAGGAGTAAAACTAAGGAACCAATACCTAATCATGGATATTTATAAATAAAATAAAGGGAGCTCTTTAAGTAGAGCTTCTTGACAAATTGGATGTAGTGTTCAGTTTGGTTGCTGCTTCTTGGAAACAACTTTTGTTTTGTGGGAGTCCTGATTTTTGTTGCTGTGTGACTAGCTCTGTGTTTAGACTTTTTTTGTGTGTGTGTGTCTTCTGATGATCGTGGCTTGAATCCACTTTTCCTGTCCTCTCCAGATCTCCAATTTTTGTGTTGAACCAACGTAGACCTCTAACAGTGTACTCGAACAGTGACTTACGCCCAGGCCTGTTGATTGTTGGGATTGTAACATGTCAGCGTGGTGGCTAGAAGCTAAAATTTCCTCAGATAAGTTGGTTGGCCTGAGTTCAATTTCTCGAGGATTACTAGCCCTACCAGAGTCGCAGCCGTGCATCTGCTCACCGTGCTTGTGATTCCAGTAGAGACACAGAGTTAAAAACTGGGCACTGGCTGTCTTTGAAGCAGCATCCGTCACCCTGAATGAGCAGCACTAGCAGGACCGTGGGGAAGATAAGGGTTGAGCCATCTCCCATTGCTAAAGTGCCCTGGTTGCTGTAGTACGCTGCAACTTGGCTACACAAATCTCTGTCTGCTCACAGAAGTAATGTATCTGAGCAGGTACAGTTCCTGCAGGAGATGTTCATGTTAAGCTCTACTCCTGCAATATAAGGATCTTTTAAAGTGATGTAGCTGTGCCTATTTTAGGGGGTTTGTGGGGGGGTATCCTCAGTCAAACCAGATTATGAATGTCAACGTAGAAACAAATCGCTACAAAACCTGCTACAGGTTTTTCCCTAAAACTATGAGCCAGTGAGTCAAGAGAACACATTTGGAATTTGCTGCTTGTTTCTTTGATCTCCACTGTTTTTTGTAAGCCAGAAATATTTCAAGTTGCCAGTTTAAAAGAGCGCTTTGACTAGAACCTGACGTTCCCCAGCAGGAAGTCGTTCAGCACAGGGGCTGTTGTACTGTGATCTCTCCCCAAGTGTCGTGCGAGCATGTGCAGCTGCAGCGCCTGTTCCCACTCCATGATGCTGGGCTGGACTGGGTGGCTCTGCAAAACCTTTTTCAGAGCTTTTGTTCTGAAAATGAGGCCTGACTAAGTTGTTCCTGGTGGGACAAGGTTTCTTGTCCTCCTTTGGTGAGGTGTGGTCTGTTCTTACTGCCAGCCTCTGGGCTCCCATCAGCCTGATGGTAGCTCCCTGGTTAGGGCAGCAGAAACAGGTATGCCTGCCTCTGTCTCCTGCTGGTGACCAGGACGTGCACAGGCACAGATTTCAGAGGGAAGCAGATCCATGGAAGCTTGAGACCTGTCGTGCCTTGTTACGCCCCTCGCATTCCCAACACAATTCTCCAGCTCCTCAGTTCCCTGAGAAGCAGCAGGGCTTGGCTAGGACCACAAGCTGTCCTGGACACAGGAGAGTGGAGTAATGTTTCTGGCCTGGCTGTAGCTTCCTGCCTTCAGTACACGGTCCTTTTTGTTTGAAAATATAGCTTCCAACATGAATCAGTTTAGACCGCTACTGGTCTTAACTGGATCAGCTGAGAATTGCTGAACCTGAACTGGAACAGAACCAAAAAACACACAAGCTTGATTCACTGATATAACTGCTTCAGAAATCATCACCTCTTATTAAATTGTTTAAGGTGCAGCAGAGGCTTGTTGCAGAGTGGGATTCTTTATAAGTCTTCGGGAACAACTTGGTCCTGCAGCAGCAGAGCCTGCTGGGTTCCTTGTGGGCAGCATTTCCCAGGGAGCTGGATGCGGGGCTGAGCAGGCTGGCTGTGCGGGTGAGGTAGGGAGCAGCCTGTCTGATGGTGTCACAAGCTCTTGTTTTGGCAGGATTTGGAAGGGTTTTTTTACATAATGATGGTGCTTTTGAGTTGTTGTTCAGCACGGTATTGCCCTATTCCCCTTCTCTACTCCATCGGAGTCTAAGCAGTGCTCAGCTCACCAGCTCTGGGATCAGCATGGCCAGTAGCACAGCTGAGACGATGCATCTAACCCTGGTCTGGCCTTCTGCTGCTGTACCTGTTCTGCTTCAAA